AAGTTTTTGGTTGCACCATTTGTTGTTTATTCAGATTTTATTAATAAAAAGTTGTTTCTTTTCCACACTTCCACCTGAAGTCTCTTAATTTCTAATTTGTAATCTTGTTTAACTAAGACCCAGTACAACCAAAAATGCCGGGAAAAGGGGGATTGGGCATCCTCAGCCCCCCATCTCCCTCTTGTTTGGGGCAATTCTGAGCTCCGGGACAACTTGATCCTCTGTTTGAGGTTCCCCTGATCTGTGGGAGCCCTGGGTGGCCAGTTTTGGGTTGCCCTGAGCTTTGGGAGCCCTGGCTGGGCGTTTTTGGTTTGCCCTGAGCTTTGGGAGCCCTGGTTGGGCATTTTTGGTGGGCCCTGAGCTCCCCCCTCCCCCACGGACCCCCCCGAACCCCCCAGCCCCGGGGCTGCCGCGGGGGCCCCCAGCGGCCCTCAGCCAATCCCGAAGCGCCCACGCCGCCCGCGCCCAATCCCAGCGCGCCGCGCTGATGACTCATCAGTCGCCGGGAGGAACAGGCTCCAATACGGCCCCAAACCGCCGCCGGCCTTTGCCCTCAGCCAATCCCAGCGCGCCCAAAAAGCCCCAAAACGGCGCCGCCCGGCTGGTTTGGGGCTGTCAGCAGCTGTCCGGCGCTGGGCATGGAGCGTGTGCGGGGAGCTGGGGCCGTGCTGGCGGTGCTGGTGGTGCTGGGAGCCCCCCCGGCTGCGGGCGAGGAGCTGTCGGGTGAACGGGGGGGCGGGAAGGGGGGTAGGGTGGGAAAGGGGGGTAAAGAGGGGAGAAAAGAGGGGGTGGGAGCCCCAAAAGTGAGTGGAAGGGGGGTCGGAAGGCCCGGAGTGAGTGGGAGAGGGGTGGGGGAGCCCCAAAGTGAGGGAGGGGGTGGGGTCTGGGGATTGTGGGGACATTGGGAAAGGGGTGGGAGAGGGGGGAAAGGGGATGTGGGAGAGCAGGCAGAGGGGTGCCCTGGGGGTCCCTGGGTGTCCCTTGAGCCCTGGAGCGGTTCCCTGGGGCTCTGGGGGGGTCGGATCTGCATTGGGGGGTCCCCAACCCACCTGTCCATCCCCGGGGGGCTGATGGGGGGTTCCCCCCTATCCGAGAGCTGGTGCTGGGGCGTCCGTGGGGCAGAGGGGGGTGGGTAAGGGGGGTCCGGGGTGGCCCCTTGAGCTCCCAACCTGCTTTGGGGGGCTGGGGGATGATGGGGGGGATGGGGCACCCCCTGACCCGTGTCCTGCACACACAGGGGTGTTCCAGCGGATGGTAAAGTGCGAGTGTTACTTCATTAACCGCACCGAGCGGGTGAGGTACATGGAGAGGCACATCTACAACCGGGAGCAGTTCCTGCATTTCGACAGCGATGTGGGGGTCCATTTGGGGGACACCCCGTATGGGGAGATCCAGGCCAGGTACTAGAACAGCCAACAGGAATATCTCGAGTACAAACGGGTTCAAGTGGAGAACTACTGCCGGTACAACTACAAGGTGTTCACCCTGTTCAGCGTGGAGAGGAGAGGTGAGCGTGGGGCAGAGCGGGTCCCCAGCCCTCTCTGTGCCCATCCCCGTGCCCTGTGGCCTCTCCAAGTTCTTCCCAATCCATCCCAGTCTCTCCCAGTCCTTCCAATGTCCCCTACTCGTTCCTAGTCCATCCCAGTCTCTCCCAGTGCCCCCCCGCGTCTCCACCCCGCTGGGGCCACCGAGCTCACGCCCCTCAGCCAATCCCAGCGCGTCTCTCTGATGATGCTCCAGTTGCCAGGCAGACCCGAACCAAAGAGTTCCCTCACCATGACTCAGCCTCCCAGTCCCGCTCGCTTCCTTCCCAGTCCACACCAGTCATTCCCAGTCACTCCCAGAGCATCTCACTCCAATCCCAGACCCTCTCGATCCATTCCCTCTCAGTCCATTCCATGTCATTCTCACTTCTCTCCCACATCTCCCAACTCTCTCCCCAGTGATCCCCCAGCCCAGCCCCTTCTCCCCCACTCTATTCCCAGTCCCTCCCACTGCCACCCCAGTCCCTCCCAGTGCCTCCTAGCTCAGCCCAGTGTCTCCCCCGTCCCTCCCAGTGCCCCCCAGCTCAGCCCAGTGTCTCCCCCGTCCCTCCCAGTGCCCCCCAGCGTGTCCATCTCGCTGGTGCCGTCGAGCTCCCAGCCCGGCCCCGGCCGCCTGCTCTGCTCCGGGATGGATTTCTACCCTGCGCCGGTGCAGGTGAGGTGGTTCCAGGATGGGCAGGAGCTGCCGGAGCACGTGGTGGCCACCGACGTGGTCCCCAATGGGGACTGGAGCTGCCAGGTGCTGGTGCTGCTGGAAATCCCCCCCCGGCGCGGGGTCACCTACAGCTGCCAGGTGGAGCACGTCAGCCTGGAGCACCCCCTCAGCCGGCACTGGGGTACGGCCCGGGCCCCCCAGCACCGGGGGGCAACAGGGGGCGACTGGGAAGGAGTTTGGTGGGTGCTGGAGATGCTTGGAAGGGGGTTGGAGGGTCCTAAAGGGTCTGGGAGGGGCTTGGTGCGATTCCTACAGGGGTTGGGAAGGGACTGGCAGAAGGTTGGAGGGACCCCCGGGTGGTCTGGGGGAGAGCGGGCCGGGCTCTGTGGGGTACCGGGTGGTGCGTGGGAGGAGGTTTTGGGGGTGCTGACCCCCCCGACTCCCCCCAGAGATGCCACCGGACACCATCCACAACAAGATCCTGGTGGGGGTCGGGGGCTTCGTCTTGAGCTTGGTCTTCCTGGCGCTGGGGCTCGGCTTCTACCTGTGGGAGAAGGTAAAGGGGGGTCCCCAAATGGGGGTCGTGTCCCCCCCCTTGCTCTCCCACAGCCTCTGGGCCCCCCCTGTCCCCCCACCCCGCTCTCACCCCCTTTTCTCTCCCCACAGAGCTCTTGAGCCGCCGGTGGCCGCAGCCCCTCCCCGTGGCCTCGGGCCCAGCTGGGACCCCCCAGTCCATCCCCACACTGAGTTTGGGGGGTCGTTTGTCCCCCCCGGCCCTGCTTTTATTCTGACCCCAGCCAGCTGCTCCCAGTGTTCCCAGGAAAGCTTCCCAGTTCTCCCCAGTCCCTGTTACTGGGGGGCAGTGAGGGCAGGGGGGAGGGGATCCCTGTCACAGCTTTACTTCTTCTAAAAAACCAAGCAGGAATTTTTCTTTCCCCTGCCCCACTGGAAAAGAAAGATGTTCAATGGGGGAGGGGGCTTTGCCTTGGGTGACTCACTTCCACAAAAGAACTGGCCCAGCCCACATTGCAGGTTGGGAGCCCTCAGAAGGCTCTGGGGGGGTGGAGTTTTTTGCTTTCTCCTGGGCAAAGGGCAAGGCCCTTCCCTTTGGCCTTAACTCAGGCAAGGGGGGTGTTGGAGAGGCTCCGAGGTCCTTTTGTTCTCGGCCTGCTCATCTGGCTCTTTGCTGGTTCCCGTTTGCCTTCGTTTCCTGCGCCCTGTTCTGCCCCCAGCCCGGACCTGCTCGGACTTCACGGGACAGGTTTGACCCCCCTAGAGAGGAACCTTTTGGGGAGGAGGTCGCCCTTTCCCTCCTCCGCTCCCGTGTTGGCAGTGGCCTGTGTTCATCGGCCAAAAGGGGGAATTCCCGGCCACAGCCAGCCACAGACAGCGGGAGTTTCGTGGGAAGAGCCCCTTTGTCTCCTTTTCCACTTTTTCCCCTTTTTGTTCTTCTGCCAATACACAGATATCCTTTAAGAAAGAGCTGTTATTTTTCCTTTTTCCATACTGCCTCAACTGGAATCTCTTAATTTCCGATTTACAGTTGCTTAGAGGGAGGAGTTTGGTTTTCCTCATAACTCATCCCCCTCAGCAAAACACTTCAGTCTCACTCAACTGAGACAGAGGTGCTGCCCCATGCTCCTGCCCTTGCCATTGCACATCCCCACATCCCAGAGCCCCAGCAAGAGCCCTGAGGGATGAGGCAGGCACAGGATCTCCCTTCCCAGGGGCTGGGGGTCAGGCCTTGGCCCTTTGCAAGAACAAAACAAATCCAGATGAGCTTTTTCCCCCTGTCCCACCATGTCCCCGTGCCCTTTTTTGGACTGAGCATCCTCATATCCTTTTATGGAATTCCCCGCTCTGAGGGAAGAACTAAGCATCCTTTTATGGAATTCCCCGCTGTGAGGGGAGGACTGGGCATTCCTGCCTGAACTGGAGAATATATAAACCTGGAGTTTCGGAACCTTTTTACCACTCGTGGGATCCAGAGGAGGACTGCAGCTCACCGCTCTCAACCAGCCTGAGACCACCCCCCTCAACTGGACTGCAACCACCACTTTTGACCAGACTGCAACAGCTCTCCCACCAGTAGGTATTTTTCCCCTCTCCCTTTACTTTGGACTTGGGGGGGGGCCCAAGGAACAGCACTTTGTTCATGGCCCAGGGTGCTGGGTTCTACATTTGGGTTTTGTGGGTTAAGACCAATTGTTTGTTCGTATGATTGCACTTACTGTGTTATTTTATTAAATTGTTCTTCTGACTTAGAATCTCTCCTTTGAGTTGAGTTCATTTCCCCTGCTGGTTAACTCTTAAACCAGCACACTGGGGATGGGTTTGGGGGGGGGTGGTTTGGGGTGTTGGGGTTTGGGGGGAGGGGGGGAGACGCAACCTGGAGGCTGAATGTGGTGGGCTGGAATTTGGGGGGGTGGGGGTGGTCCAGGTCAGTCCTTGGGTGCCTGGATTTGGGGCTGGATCCCAAAATCCCCCTGTGTGTGTGTCCCCAAACCCCTCTGACTCCTCCGTGCCCCCCAGCACTACTGGATGGGGTTCTGGGGACCCCTGACCCCCCCGGGGACCCCCAAACACCCCGTGACCCCCCATTTTGTGCCCCTCAGTGACACTGGATGGGGCTCTGGGGACCCCCAAACCCCCCGTGACCCCCATTTTGTGCCCCCCAGTGATGCTGGATGGGGCTTTGGGGACCCCTGACCCCCCTGGGGACCCCCAAGCCCCCTCTGACCCCTTATTTTGTGCCCCCCCCCAGTGACACTGGAGGGGGCTCTTGGGACCCCTGACCCCCCATGGACCCCCAAACTCCCCGTGACCTCCCGTTTTGTGCCCCCCAGCGACGCTGGGGCTGGGGCTGGGGCTGGGGCTGGGGGGGCTGGGGCTCACCTGTCCAACAGCCCCCTCACCTGTCCCACAGCCCCATCACCTGTCCAACAGCCCCCACACCTGTCCCACATCCCCCACACCTGTCCCACAGCCCCATCATCTGTCCCACATCCCCCACACCTGTCCCACCTGTCCCCACAGCCCCCAACCTGTCCCACAGCCCCCTTCTCACTGTCTACAGCCCCCATCATTCGTCCATAGCTCCTTCACCTGTCCCACCTGTCCCACAGCCCCCACACCTGTCCCACAGCCCCCTCACCTGTCCTCACCTGTCCCACCTGTCTCACAGCCCCCCCACCTATCCCCTAGCCCCCTCACCTGTCCTATAGACCCCTCACCTGTCCCACCAGTCTCACAGCCCCCTCACCTGTCCCATAGCCCCCTCACCTGTCCCACAGCCTCCTCACCTGTCCTATAGCCCCCTCACCTGTCCCATAGCTGTCTCACCTGTCCCACCTGTCCCACAGCTCCCTCACCTGTCCCACAGCCCCCTCACCTGTCCCACAGCCCCCAGCCCCGCCCTGAGCTCCGCCCTGCCTCACCTGGCCAGGCTCAACCCCAGGGCCTTCAGGTAACACACACCTGTCCCCCCCTGTCTCAGGCTTCTGCAGGGGGTGCTGCAGAACTCCCCCTGTCCCTCCCCTGTCCCTCACCTGTCCCTCCCCTGTCCCTCACCTGTCCCCGTCCCCCGGGGCAGCCCCTGAGGTGTCCCTGCCCCTCCCCAGGCTCCTGCAGGCCGAGCGGCGGCTGCTCCAAAACGCCGTCAGGAACGTCCTGGACGGGGAGTTACTGGGCAGGTTCCTGTACCTGAGCGCCATGGAGAGGGGGGAGCTGGCCAAGAAAATCGGGACCACCCCGGATATGGTACGTGGGGAGGGGACAGGGACTGGGGTGGGACACCTGTGGGGATGGGGGAGCTGGCCAAGAAACTCGGGACAACCCCGGACATCGTACGTGGGGAGGGGACAGGGACAGGGACTGGTGTGGGATGGGGGAGCTGGCCAAGAAAATCGGGACAACACCAGATGTCGTATGTGGGGAAGGGACAGGGACAGGGACTGGGACACCTGTGGGGATGGGAGAGCTGGCCAAGAAAATCGGGACCAGCCTGGACATCGTACATGGGGAGGGCACAGGGCAGGGACAGGGACAGGGGGAGCTGGCCAAGAAAATCGGGACAACCCCGGATATCGTACGTGGGTAGGGGACAGGGACTGGGGTGGGACAGGGCTGGGACACCTGTGGGGATGGGGGAGCTGGCCAAGTACATGGGGAGGGGACAGGGACAGGGGTGGGGCTGGGACAGGGGGACCTGGCCAAGAAAATTGGGACCACCCTGGATATCGTATGTGGGGAGGGGACAGGGGTGGGGCTGGGACAGGGGGAGCTGGCCAAGAAAATCGGGACAACCCTGGACATCGTACGTGGGGAGGGGACAGGGACAGGGACAGGGGTGGGACAGGGACAGGGGTGGGATGGGGGAGCTGGCCAAGAAACTCGGGACAACACCAGATATCATATGTGGGGAGGGGACAGGGACAGGGACTGGTGTGGGATGGGAGAGTTGGCCAAGAAAATCGGGACAACCCCCGACATTGTACGTGGGGAGGGGACAGGGCGGGGACGGAGGTGGGGCAGGGACTGGTGTGGGATGGGGGAGCTGGCCAAGAAACTCGGGACAACACCAGATATCGTATGTGGGGAAGGGACAGGGACAGGGACTGGGACACCTGTGGGGATGGGAGAGCTGGCCAAGAAAATCGGGACCAGCCCGGACATCGTACATGGGGAGGGGACAGGGACAGGGCAGGGACAGGGACAGGGGGAGCTGGCCAAGAAAATCGGGACAACCCCGGATATCGTACGTGGGTAGGGGACAGGGACTGGGGTGGGACAGGGCTGGGACACCTGTGGGGATGGGGGAGCTGGCCAAGTACGTGGGGAGGGGACAGGGACAGGGGTGGGGCTGGGACAGGGGGAGCTGGCCAAGAAAATCGGGACCACCCTGGATATCGTATGTGGGGAGGGGACAGGGACAGGGACAGGGGTGGGACAGGGACAAGGGTGGGATGGGGGAGCTGGCCAAGAAACTCGGGACAACACCAGATACTGTACATGGGGAGGGGACAGGGACAGGGACTGGTGTGGGATGGAGGAGCTGGCCAAGAAAATGGGCACCACCTCCGACACCGTATGTGGGGAGGGGACAGGGATGGGACAGGGGTGGGGCTGGGACAGGAGTGGGGCTGGGACAGGGGGAGTTGACCCAGAAACTCGTGAGCACCCTGGCCATGGTGGTCCCACCCGGGACAGGTTTGGGGTCGGACAGGTTTGGGGTGGGACAGGTTTGGGGTGGGACAGGTTTGGGGTGGGACAGGTTTGGGGTCGGACAGGTTTCGGGTCGGACAGGTTTGGGAAGCAAGTGTAGGACTGGGATTTGGGGTGGGCTGGGGCAGGTGATGATCCCTGACCCCCCCTCCCGCCCCAGAGATCCTGGACGACCTCCTGGAGATCGACCGAGTCACGGCCCACTTCTGAGGGGCTTCGGGACCCCCAATTCCCCCCCACTCCCACCCCAAAATCCCCCCAAAGTGCACATTTGTAATAAAACCCAAACCCCCACGGCCGTTCCCGGGGTGTCCGTGGGTCACAGGGGGTTCATTGGCACTCTGGGGGCGGCACTTGTGGGGTTTTGGAAGGGGTTTGGGGGGGCTTTGCTCCATTTTTGGGGTGTTCAGGGGTGTTCCTGGCACACCCCTGGAGCAGCAGCCTGGTGGGTTTGGGGCAATTCTGGGGGTTTTTGGGTGTCTCTGGGGCCTCCTCAGGCCTGGGGGAGTCTCTGCAACTGCTCCATTCGGTGTTTATTTTTGGGTGTATTTTTGGGGTGAATTTTTGGGGTAATTTGGGGCGGTTTTGGGTTCCTGCAGCGCCCCCCTCAGGCCCGGAGGACTCTCTGCAGCTGCAACACTCAGGGTTTATTTTTGGGTGAATTTTTGGGGTGAATTTTTGGGGTTATTTGGGGCGGCTTTGGGATTCTCCGGCGCCCCCCTCAGGCCCGGAGGACTCTCTGCAGCTGCTCCACTCGGGGGTTATTTTTGGGTATATTTTTGGGGTAATTTGAGGCGATTTCGGGTTCCTGCAGCGCTCCCCTCAGGCCCGGGGGAGTCTCTGCAGCTGCTCCACTCAGGATTTATTTTTGGGGTGAATTTTTGGGGTAATTTGGGGCAGTTTCGGGTTCCTGCAGCGCCCCCCTCAGGCCTGGAGGACTCTCTGCAGCTGCTCCCCGTGCGGCAGCGCCCCCCAGCGGCTCAGCAGCCACAGCGCCGCCGCCGCCAAACGGGCCCGGAGGGACTCGAACCTGGGGGGGACAGGGGGGGTCACCTGGGGGGGGACACACCTGGGGGTCACACACACACCTGGGGGGTCACACACACACACCTGGGGGTCACACACACACCTGGGGGTCACACACACACCTGGGGGTCACACACACATACCTGGGGGTCACACACACCCCTGGGGGGGGTCACACACACACCTGGGGGTCACACACACGCCTTGGGGGGGGGCCACACACACATGGGGGTCACGCACACACACCTGGGGGGTCACACACACACCTGGAGGGGTCACACACACACACGTGGGGGTCACACACACACACCTGGTCACACAGACACACCTTGGGGGGTGTCCTAGTTAGGACAGCTGAGACCAGTTCATCATGGCATGGGTGTAACCCAAAACTGTGTATTCTATAGCCTTCCATGCCATTTCCCAGAAACTGTTGTGAATAGACTATTCGCACCCTCTGCCCATAGAGCCTGACTCCTCAGGCTATAAACTAGGTGTTAAGAGGCCTGTGAGATAGGAGGATGCTCCTGTCCTCACACCCTTTGTGGAACTCCCCGCCCTGAGGGAAGTGCTGAGCATTCCTGCCTGAACTGCAGGATATATAATCTTGGAGTCTTGGAGCATTTGGGGAACCACTCTGTGGGATCCAGAGAAGGACTGCGGCTCATCGCTCTCAAACAGACTTGGACCACCCCCCTCAACTGGACTCCAATCACCACTTTTGACCAGACTGCAACAGCTCTCCCACCAGCAGGTTCTTCCCCTCTCCCTTTACTTTGGACTCAAGCGGGGCCCAAGGAACAGCACTTTGTTCATGCCCCAGGGTACTGGGTAATACATTTGGGTTTTGTGGGTTAAGACCAATTGTTTGTTTGTATGATTGTACTTACTGTATTATTTTAGTAAATTGTTATTCTGACTTATAATCTCTCCTTTGAGTTGAGTTCATTTCCCCTGCTGGTTAACTCTTAAACCAGCACACCAGGCCAGATCAGTCATTCTCAGTCAATCCCAGTCATTCCCAGTCCCTCTACCTCCACTTCCAGACCCTCTCAGTTCATTCCCAGTCGTTCTCACTTCACTCCCACATCTCCCAACTCTCTCCCCAGTGACCCCCTAGCCCATCCCCTTCTCCCCCACTCTATTCCAGTCTCTCCCACTGCCATCCCAGTCCCTCCCAGTGCCCCCCAGCTGAGCCCAGTGTCTCCCCCGTCCCTCCCAGTGCCCCCCAGCGTGTCCATCTCGCTGGTGCTGTCGAGCTCCCAGCCCGGCCCCGGCCGCCTGCTCTGCTCCGGGATGGATTTCTACCCTGCGCCGGTGCAGGTGAGGTGGTTCCAGGATGGGCAGGAGCTGCCGGAGCACGTGGTGGCCACCGACGTGGTCCCCAACGGGGACTGGAGCTGCCAGGTACTGGTGCTGCTGGAAATCCCCCCCCGGCGCGGGATCACCTACAGTTGCCAGGTGGAGCACGTCAGCCTGGAGCACCCCCTCAGCCGGCACTGGGGTACGGCCCGGCCCCCCCAGCACCGGGGGGGCGACTGGGGGCGACCGGGAGGGAGTTTGGGGGGTGCTGGGGGTGCTGGGAGGGGGGTGGGAGGGTCCTGAAGGGGCCGGGAGGGGCCGGGTGGGATCCCTGGCGGGGCTGGGAAGGGACTGGCAGGAGGTTGGAGGGACCCCCGGGTGGGCTGGGGGAGAGCGGGCCCCCTCCTGGGAACAGGGGGGGTTGGACAATCCCAGAACCCCAAACTCCCGGGAACAGGGGGGTTATTGGGCATCCACGGCCACCAGAACCTCATTCCAACGTATCCAGAACACCCCAAACCCCATCCCCAGAAATCCGGGACCCCCCAAAACCCACCTCGGACCCCCCAGTGCCCGGGCGGGGTCAGCAGCAGCAGCAGCCAATGGGAGAGCGTGGTGAGGGCGCGTCATCAGTTGCCGGGTAGACGAGTCCCGAACTGAGCCCCGATCGGACTCAGCCAATCAGAGACCGCCCTGAGCTCGTTTTTTGGTCAACAGGGGCACTCCCAGACCCCCAAAATCCTGGACGAAGGTGGGTTTGGACACATCCAGACCCTAAAAATCCTGGGAAGGGGGTTTTGGACGTTCCCAGCCCCACAAAACCCAAGGAACGGGGGGGTTTGGGAACATTCAGACCCTAAAAAATTTGGGAACATGGGGGTGTGGGCTCTGCTAGATGCTTAAAATCCCGGGAACAGGGGGGTTATTGGGCACCCGCGGCCACCCAGAACATCATTCCACCGCATCCAGATCACCTTAAATGCCATCCCCAGGAATCCGGGACCCCCCAAAACCCACCTCGGACCCCCCCCAGCCCCGGGGCTGCCGCGGGGGCCCCCAAGGGCCCTCAGCCAATCCCGAAGCGCTCACGCCGCCTGCGCCCAATCCCAGTGCACCGCGCTGATGACTCATCAGTCGCCGGGAAGAACAGGTTCCAACACGGCCCCAAACCGCCGCCGGCCTTTGCCCTCAGCCAATCCCAGCGCGCCCAAAAAGCCCCAAAACGGCGCCGCCCGGCTGGTTTGGGGCTGTCAGCAGCTGTCCGGCGCTGGGCATGGAGCGTGTGCGGGGAGCTGGGGCCGTGCTGGCGGTGCTGGTGGTGCTGGGAGCCCCCCCGGCTGCGGGCGAGGAGCTGTCGGGTGAGCGGGGGGTGGGAAAGGGGGGCAAGAGGGGAGAAAAGAGGGGGTGGGAGCCCCAAAAAAGTGAGTGCGAGGGGGGTGGGAAGGGGCGGAGTGAGTGGGAGGGGGGTGGGAGCCCCAAAGTGAGGTTGGGGGGGTCTGGGGATTGTGGGGCCGGTGGGAAAGGGGTGGGAGAGGGGGGAAAGGGGTGGGTGGGAGAGCAGGCAGAGGGGTGCCCTGGCGGTTCCTGGGTGTCCCTTGAGCCCTGGAGCGGTTCCCTGGGGCTCTGGGGGGGTGGGATCGGCAGTGGGGGGGTCCCCAACCCCCCTGTCTATCCCCGGGGGGCTGATGGGGGGGTTCCCCCCCAGCCAAGAGCCGGTGCTGAGGCGTCCGTGGGGCAGAGGGGGGTGGGAAAGGGGGGTCCGGGGTGGCCCCTGAGCTCCCAGCCTGCTGTGGGGGGTTGGGGGATGATGGGTGGGGACGGGGCACCCCCTGACCCGTGTCCTGCACACACAGGGGTGTTCCAGGAGATGTCCACGTACAAGTGTCACTTCATCAACGGCACCGAGCGGGTGAGGCTCGTGATGAGGCGCATCTACAACCGGGAGCAGTACGTGCACTTCGACAGCGATGTGGGGGTCTATGTGGGGGACACCCCGTATGGGGAGATCCAGGCCAGGTACTGGAACAGCGAACCGGAAAGGCTGGAGCGCAGACGGGCTGAGGTGGACACGGTCTGCCGGCACAACTACGAGGTTGATGCCCTGTTCACTGTGAACCGCAGAGGTGAGCGTGGGGCAGAGCGGGTCCCCTCGGGCCCTGCCCCGGAAATGACCCTGGAGCCCCTCAAACCCTCCCTGGGAATCACCCCAGACCCCTCAGCCTCCCTGTGCCCATCCCCGTGGCCTTTTGCCCCTTGCAGTGCCCCCCAGTCCATCCCAGTCTCTCCCAGTCCGTCCAATGACTCCTAGTCTCTCCTAGTCCATTCCAGTTTTTCAGAGTCCACCCCAGTCCATCCCAGTCTCTCCCAGTGCACCCCCGCGTCTCCACCCCACTGGGGCCACCGAGCTCACGGCCCTCAGCCAATCCCAGCGCGTCTCTCTGATGACGCTCCAGTTGCCAGGCAGACCCAAACCAAACACTTCCCTCACCACGACTCAGCCTCCCAGGCCCGAGCGCTTCCTTCCCAGTCCACACCAGTCACTCCCAGTCCACACCAGTCACTCCCAGTCCCTCTCACTCCATTCCCAGACCCTCTCGATCCATTCCCAGACCCTCCCAGTCCATTCCCAGTCGTTCTCACTTCACTCCCACATCTCCCAACTCTCTCCCCAGTGCCCCCCCAGCCCAGCCCCTTCTCCCCCACTCGACTCCCAGTCCCTCCCACTGCCATCCCAGTCCCTCCCACTGCCATCCCAGTCCCTCCCAACGCCCTCCAAGCCCTCTGCCCTCCCTCCCAGTGCCCCCCAGCTGAGCCCAGTGTCTCCCCCGTCCCTGCCAGTGCCCCCCAGCGTGTCCATCTCGCTGGTGCCGTCGAGCTCCCAGCCCGGCCCCGGCCGCCTGCTCTGCTCCGTGATGGATTTCTACCCTGCGCCGGTGCAGGTGAGGTGGTTCCAGGATGGGCAGGAG